TGGATGCTTTTAGAATACAGGTTCTGCTTCACATTCAAGTCTTCTTATTTTTACTGAATATGGGGGTTGGGATAATCGGATTTGAGTAGCATGGCGTGTCATCGGATCCTCGCTCTCGTTTTTCTACTAGGTGAACTCGTAATAGTTCAAGTATATCAAGTTGACGTGTTTACGTGCAGGCGTAACAATCCATCATTTAAATACATGTTAGTAACATTAGCATTTATTTGATAAAATTATCACATTTTCAAGGTTGTCCTTTCATAAAGTTTATCCCGATAGTTACCACAAAGATATTTTTTATATAGTTTAGGTAGAATATGATCAATTCCTCATTTAAAGAATAAACGACAACTTAAAATGAATTTCAACAAATTCAATTTTCGAAAAACTTGCTTATTATTTAGAATTGACTACTTTCTTACGACTGTTACCCTTAATGGAGCATAGGCCGCCGAGTTGGATATTTTACCGGATGGGGTCGCTAACCCAATGCACGGACCTCCTTTTTCCGGGCTTGGAAACGGCAGCAACCTTCAGGTGGAGTTATTTAAAATTGATAACTAACTGCAACTTATTAATAATAATAATAACCACTTTCATATTTGTCATTTAACTATTTCGGCACACGATTTATTTATATTAACATCAAACAAAATCCACACATCTGATCTCATTTATGAATTATAATAAAGTCAAAGCAAAAAATCTGCCTTGTCTTTGTTTATTATACATATCAAGGGAAGTGATGTCCACAGATAGTTGGTTCTAATTAACGCTAATACTCTCAAAATTGCAGATATATCTTCTTGACGAGTGCTAACTAACAATAAACTGAAATATGTTTATGACTATATGAAATCTAAATAAACAAGAGAAATAATGTGGTCACAAAACATGAAAACTTCAGTTTAGACCTATAGATTTAAATTGGTTAAATTAATCTGAAGGAATATCCGACTTCCGCATTAGAAATTTCAGAATCCCCTAAATATTTGACAAGAAAAAAACACCAAGTTGATCATTAGGAACATTCATAGCACTATTTTATCGCATTTATAAATGAGTCTTAGCTTCTGTAACATAATCTGAATATAATACAACTTCAGTTAATAACCAACTATACATTACATTAAGGATTTATGTGATTTATCCTGAGTCTTTTGTATGTATTTACAATTTAACCATATGCACAAAAATGTATGCGTTGATGTTAATGTTATTTACTTAATCACTTCTGGCATACTATACTACTCAGATGAATGCTTTTCAGAATGTGACAAGAGAAACTAGGGAAAGTTGTCTAGACGATATATATATATATATATATATATAATTACCAGAAGTGAATTTGTTTCCAACTAATTATAAATTAACTGTTTGTTTTTAGATTAATTAGACACTGTATCAACTATTTAATGTGTTCATGAGTGATAAATTGGTAATCTAATCTTACCACGTACCAATTGAAATGCTTATTTAACTATAATGTTATTAGTTAAAAGTGCCGATTTAGAAGTAAGCTTAGACTTTATTTTCTCCTACATGATTTACGATCTCATTGTTATCGACCTGATATACTTGACAGTCGGGTGTTATCAAAAACTGAAACCTATGTTTTAGAATTCATGAAAATGAGAAAATACTTCCAGTGTATTTCCTCCGAAAATTCACAATACTTTTCTTTTCTTACTAATTCACCTGTTCAAACAAAGTCGTTATGAATGATTTATCGGATATTATCATCATACCAAAGTCACACAAACTCAAATAGACACAGTGACTTTTCGCAATAACAACAAATTGTCCACAATAATCTATTTCGTACAGTAAAAAGTTTTTTTCAGTCAGCCTTAATGATATGTTATGCACAAAAATACTCTACCAATGAACATATTTAAAATACATTGATGAATTATAGATTTCTTGCAACATCCTATGCTAAATTGTAAATAAGTAAAGATTAACTTTACATATGATTAAAAAAAAAACTCACTTTTATACCACTTGAAGTGAGAAAATTATGTAGAAATCATAGGTCACTACCAAAAAGTGTGTATGAGTCTAGGTGAAAATATCAAGATCATTTTAATCGCTAGTTTGTGAACGACTGACCTAAATAAGTTAGTGGCAAACACATTTAAATTCATCTCTAGCATAATCTGATAAAGATTATTTATTTTCTAGTTACCTGTTCTGTCCAAAAACATGAATAAATTAATCTATTATATTATACATCAAGTTCAGGTTAGGTCAGAGTAATGCACTAGCGGATGGAAATCTGAACTACAGAAAAATCTTAAATTAACATCATAATATGGACTATAACAGAATTTAACTGTCTCATTGATATTGTATAAATGACACCCGATTAATTAACTTGAATAACTGCTAACATTTAATTATTAAATCCTTCATAGCTGAATGATCACTCAGTGATAGGTAATTCAGATATAAGCAAGGTACTTGTAATTTAACCACATAATATGAAAAGATGCGAAAAACGTAACTTCTGTAAGCGCTATATAATTTGTCAAGGAAAATAATTCGACTCTTCCATTGATTTAAATCAAGTGAGATAGAATTTAATTTTATTTACTAAAATTTCTATGACCTCAGAAAATGCAGCGTTTGTCTTCGCATCAAAAAAGCAAGTGTCACAAACTAATACTAGTGCCACTATCCACCCATCAAAGACTTGCAAAAATGAGTAAATAACCTTTGTTTTAATTAACAAGTAAATATAATTTATGGATAAACAGTTGAACGTCCACTTGTATTGGTCGTTTTAATCTGCGACGTTTCATGCTAATTTCGGACTGGTCAGTTGGGTGTACCTGCATTCCATAATTGATTTTAACCCAGGGACTCAACGCCGTTTGCTTCAAATGCAACAGCATCGTCACCCTAGCTACTGAATTCAGACAGTAGATCCCAAATAGGACTAAATGCGTTTCCTGTATCTCATTGTTAGCCACTATCCATTTCTGCATATAATTACGGTGAGCTAATGGGAATATCGAAGCAAACCGCCCACACTGATCAATTGCAATCCTAAACATCAATGGGAAGATTCAAACAACCAATACAATTGGATTAAACTTCACATCAGTGCATAAGACAGCAGATATCGAAACTCAGTAGCTAAGTGGATAATTAGATGGCGTTTAGAGGGAACGGTACTGGGCTCGAGTCTCGGCGTGAACATCAACTCTGGGATAAAGGTACATTCGGCGGATGACTCCTAAATATGGGGAAACACACGTCTTGGATTTCACTGCTGTCCACCATCTATCTATGCTTAGAACAGTTTGACAGCTGATAAACGCACGACTTTCTTTGAACAACTCGATGGTTCGGCTGGTAGATTAAAATACCATACTTAAATGAAATTAAATCAATGATCAGAATTGAGCCAAAGATTTCTAGAAAAATAGTGGCTTGCAACCATACTACTCTTAAGTAGTTAAAATCACCAAAACAGTTTTCCATCCAACTACGCACAGTATACTGAGGAAAAAGTTTCCAGAGGAAAATCTTCACGACATTTATATATGTAATCGTATTTTGATATTTGAGTATCCATTAACAATACGTTTCATCGAATTTTGGCTATATTATCATTTAATTGATTAGTAAACATCAATAAGAATTATGGCTTTTCATATGAAAATCAGTAGCACCATGGGACTTAGAATGAACGAATAAGACAGACAACTTTATGTAGTGTTCGTAAAATATTCCGAAAAAGACTGTTGAGAGGATATCAAAAAGGGGAGCTATAACTAGCGGACTTCTGCTCCAGACATATAAATATATTATGCTATCAATGTATCTTGAAGATCGTTTTTTCACTGGATGTGGGATAGAACTCAGTACATTCAACCCTTAAAACATATACTTCCATTCAGCTAACTTCACATTTAAAACTTTTCTCCAGGCGTCCAAATTAAAGTAAAGAAACACAAATCGAGAATTAATAGAAACATGAGTGAGTTAATAATTTAAACTGTTTCACATACTATAAGATGTTTTTCCGAAAGCAATGACATGTACCTGATAAATCACTCATCAGATTTGTAGCATATAACCTATGAATAACATAAAAGGCATTCATTTTTATTAAATCTTCAAAAATTTTTAAGCATTTCTTTGAAAAGGAAATTCTGAATTTTTATGAAAAAAATCGATGTAATAAGGTTACAAACTGACTGTGAATTTGGTTAAAAGGGTATTTCTCAGTTACATATATTATTTATATATCATACCACAAACCGAAAAGTATATTCATTTGTTTGATAAACCTGGAATGTTAATAAGTTAACTCGTAGCTGACTATATACTTTTCGATAATACATAAAAAGTATAAAAGTTTAGCAAAAGGGTGATAAGGAAAAACCAAAATTTGTATCACTGAACATTTTCAAGATTTCATCCACCCTATTCCTGTTAAAATAGTTTTTTAGAATAATTTTACAGAAATCTAAAGAGCTATTTTGTAGGTGCATAGCGTTTATGATAACTGCTTGTCAATCTTACTGGAATATGTGTATCATTTCGAAGAGTCAAGACTACTGTAAATGATCAATCATAAGTATGAGGAGTTCCATAAACAGTAAACATTCAACTGAATCACAGTATTATATTTGATGCAATACAAACATCACCATCAGTTCATGTATGTATGTAAACTCTCTCAATCACAGTAAGGTCAAAAAATCTTTCCAAACTAAAAAAATCCACTATAGAAATATATATAATCCTGGTAAACCGAATTACTGACGCGACTCAACATAAACGAATTGTAGAAACTATGATAGACAAAGCTTTCTTGGTTGATATTAGGACAGTAGAATAGAAAATTATTTGCCATGTTTAAGAAGGCTAGCTAGGAAATTAGAATTGCAGTGCAGCAGAATTACTGCTTTCCTCAATTATGAGCATCAAATGAAGTGAAAAATATACACACACTGTACATCTTTTTATATTTAGGAAATAACTCAAACAGATAATACTGAAAGTATTTTTTCAGTCAAAAGTTTCGTATTTTCACTAGTATAAATCTTTGATTGAAAATCTCCTGCACGATCACAAGCGATAGTCAAAGCGGGATCGATAGGTAGTCGACCTACAAAGAAAAAATGCAAAACTTTAAGGAAGCATAGTTGATTTTTACAACATATATTATACCGAAGTGGATACGCATGAAATATATGGAATATCAATCAATGAGGTGACACGAACTCTCTTGAAATAGAAGAAGAGTAATGAATAGTTGATCTATTCCCCATGTTGAACTGTTGACTAGAATTTTATTGCTCTTATCATTACCAGCACACTTGTTTTCTTACTACGAACTGGTACTTTTCACCCACTGTGCTTAATTTAGTAATCTATTTCATTGTGATCATTAACTCGTTAAATTGTTTAGTTCGTTGGATATCTTCATATAGATATTCATGTATATGTATGTATGACGATCTGACCGAAAAAACTTTAGTTAGCTTCTGTAAGTTGCTTTAGTTTTCACAGTGGGGATCTTAAATATTTTAAAATATTTGTTTGACTCTGAGGAGGAAAATTATATTGATAAAAGTTTCAGCGATTGGTTTGCTTAAATATAATTTTCTTCCCTAATATCGTACACTAACTTGGTGCCCAACTTCTGTGGAACTGTTCGTTCACATTCAGACAAAACTTCTCATACTTGTTTGACTTCCTCAAATTAAAATCTGTTTAATAATGGTTATATCAAGTAGTAAGGTGAAATTACACACTTGTCATTATACGTACCCAAAAACTGAACATTTTTCTCAATAGCCAATGCTTCAGCACCTCCGTGTGAAAATACATTTGTACATTGAGTACAATTAGGACATTTGTATCCACTCATATTTTCAATTAAACCAATTACTTTTATGTTTGTTTTAACACAAAATCCAAGTTCTCGACGTACATCGCACAAAGATACTCTCTAATAAAGAAAAATTACTCAAATTTATTTTATTTATATTTATTGACGTTTAAATAAAAAAATCAATTTTCTTCTTGAGCACGATAGTTGGTTGTGTAATCAATTATGTTTCACTGATTCTTGATTGTAAGTAGTAGTGAGTACAACTTCACCCCGTGTTTTATTTATCATGATGATCAAGATATATATATATATATATATATATATATATATATATTATTTTTAACCAATATGTATATTTTGTTTGCCCAGCTTCAAACATTTATCTTAACTTCATTAAATGAACTATAAACTTTTGTTCTGATCATAATGCTTGAAATAAGTTCATTTTATTCTGGAACAGTTAAACAAAATAAAAGGGATACACAGTAGTAAGTAACAATTAGTATATTAGTTGTCAAATATTCTGCTAGTATTAAAATCATTTAATATGATGATATTTGCTTAACTGTCGTTTACGCTAGTCAAAACTGTCACAAACAATTTATTCAAAAGTCCAATCTGAAATGCTTCCATCATGCTCCGATAAGTGTTGCTGCTCAGTAAAATAAACTTGTATTTTGCCAATGATTTATAGTATATATATGAGCTTATGTTAGTTCATTTTACCTAATTCTGTATTACCTCTACTACTATGGGATTTGAATTGACAAGTCCACCTTTGTGTGTTAATGTGGTATGTCAACTTGAACTGATGTACGTACGTACGAAGTTCTACCTTGTAATTGACTGACTGGTTGACATTCTCATTATGAGTTACAAATATTCTTCATTATATTAGTGTCATTAGCTCTTACCTTTAGACAGTGGCTCATACGCAAGAACCTAGTGAATGAGTTAAATTAGATTCTTATATATAAGCTAAAAGAAGGGGTCAAGTCCTTTTTAACGAAAGTGTAACAAAAATAATTGTCACTCCTGTAAATTTTCACTGAACTTCAAAAATTATTTGACGTTATGAGTCTAGTCGGTTATAAATCACTTGTGAGAGGACTAACGAGATCGCAAACCTGTTGATATCTCAAAAGAGAATAACTTTTCACAGCATAATACATAAATAGAAGAGTGAATGGAAAGGGAACCGATCATCGATTCAACCAAAATAAAACCAACCACGTATATAAACTATACTATACAGATGAATGTAAATAATATAAGCACTAAAATACATACTTATCTGTTCGAGTGCTACCTTGCGGAATGTTCTGAGCAACTGAAACCCAGACAGAGCAAGTATATTGACAGAAATGAGAGCATGTTGTCAATAATTATTTTAGTGCGTTATTTGTAAAATTAAGTTTTCGTGAACTTATCTGGTGTATTTGTTGGACAAGAGGTAGTTTGAAAAGAAATGAAAAGGGTAGACAAATATTGTCAATTATAGTAAGTGAGTTGATAAGGAAAATTATTTCACCTGCGGGGTTGAAACAATAATAATTCCTACATCTACATCAGATGTGGACTTTTGTAGATGTTCGAAGACAGTTATATGTTCATCTGATGTTCCAGGTGGGGTATCAATAATCAGATAGTCAAGATTTCCCCAACAAACTGAATTCAAAAATTCACCCACCATACTTCCCTTGCGCGGCCCTCTCCAAATAACTGCAGAGTCAGCATTATCTAGTAAAAACCCAATTGATACCACAGAAAAGCGTTTAGTGTGTCCATCAGCATAGACAGGTAACCAGCCTTCAGCGCATGAATGTATCTTAAAAAGCAAAACAGATATTTAGAAAGTAAACAAATAGAAGTCAGACTTCTCAACTGATTTTATAATTGCGCAAGATAAATATAGGGATAAAGTATGAGTTTGAAGCAAACTGTGAAATCGAAACACAATTCACATTCAGACATCGAATTTATTAACGGTAAAATATGAAACCAAGTCATCGGTTTGTGAAATTCATTTCCGATCGCTTCCTCATGATTCTAGAAGTCACTTTATCTAATTCATTGTGGAAAATGAATGTGGTTAAAAAAACTCGCTACTCTACGATAAATCATCAGATACACAAAAATTTCGAAAGTTCGAGTTATCTATTTACTTGAACTTAACTTCACAACAGACCTCACGTAGAACATACTGCATACAAGAACGGGGATCTAAGAAGATTGGAAAACTTAAAAGACAATATCTAGCATTGAAGCTGAAGAGATGAATGAATAAAACGCAGCAAACCCATTGAGTCGATCATACTTCAAAATTATCGGAATAACAGTTTTTATAATCCTAACATGTTCCCAAACCTGAAAAGCGATTGCATTTATAAACTTCAAAATCGATCATACGAAAATGTAGTCCTGATAAATAGATTTGTATACTTCTTGTTGTGGTCAGTCGAGAGCGAGAAGCTTGATGATAGAACAGCTCCACCGAGCAACTTTTACAAAGGATGACAAAAAATCCATGTCCAACATGAGGCATTTACGCTCTCATCTTACTGCAGTATTGGGAACACATGCTTTCGACTGATGATTAAGAAACGTAATTCTACCTAATATGGCGTCAAAGGAGTGGACTAGTCTCAGAGTTTCACCCCATACTTAATAAGTGCCCCCATAACCTAACACGACAAAAAACTGTCAGTAATTACATTCCTAATTAAAAGTATCACTTTAGTCAAAATGTCACTGTTTAAGTGAACCTGTGATATGAAAACAATGCCTGTAATTTACCAGCACCCAAACACTTAACTTCTTAGTACTTGGGGTACTTATTCAACATATGTAGAGTAACAACGAGAATTACACTGTTTCGATTAGCCAAAGAGACAAATCAACAAAAAAACTGTTAATCTTTTAATATCTGATAGAAACATTCAAACTTAAAAGGGTCTTGGTAAGCAACACAGTTTACGGTTAGTACTGAATTTAACAACTGATGCATTTAACTGATGGTGTACTAATGTCGAGCATTATTTTGTAATTCGACGTAGAAATAAATGGTTATATATAAATATATAGTTTGTGATAAGATTTCATTTAAGATGTTGTTATTAAATGAAATGAATCATAAACTGAAAATCTAACATCTCTTACTGTTACTAACTTTGCTGTTTTCTAAACCAAGTATCCGGGGTATAGATGGCCCACAAAAGTCAATATCAAGAATACCAACACAGAAACCACTATTCCAAAGATTAATGGCGACCTGAGCAGCAACCGTAGACTTTCCGACACCTCCTTTTCCAGAAGTTACAACCAAAACATGTTTCGTGTTCTTTAACCCTGGATGAATTAAATCGTTATCAGAAATATCCTGCAGAGATATTAGTATACAAAATCGTACAGACAAAACACAAATTATCTCGACATTTTATTGGTAAAAAATGATACAGAATGGTAGGCTAGTATTTACACTGCTGAAACTAGAGCGAAATATTGGTGTTATCCGTACCGATTATTATAAAAACTTTCATGTCTGGAACTGCTGTACCGAGAGGGTGGACTACGGTCTCTATAACTAGCAGGCGATGCAGAACTTGGATGTCTAGTGAATCCATTGGGTCTTCGTCTTTCATATGAACGATTTTCAAGCGGGACTGGTGGACTGTATGGCCATCCATAAGGAGGAAGTCCATATGGCGGTAGAGGATGTAAGTTATGCTCAGACCGCGAGTAATGGTCATATTCCCGTCTATAATCCCTATACCGGTTATCAATAGGTGGAGTAAAACTTGAGAATGAATCACAACGATGACTGCGGTGATGAATATAATCCGTACTCTCGCTAAAATGACTTCGGTATGGTGACCCTGAACCAGAAGAATCGACTGTAGGCCTGTAATATTGGTGAGCGTAAGGCGGAACGGAACGTATCTTCAGATCTTGAAACTTAGAGTTTTGTCTTGGACGGATTATCAGTTCTGTACCGTATAAAGTGACACCTTCAAAAAGTGAGCAGGCATATGGGACAGATTCTTCATCCTCAAATGTTACAAAGGCGAATGTGTCTTTAACAGTAACATCTTCGAGAGGTCCAGCCTGAAGAAACAATTCGTACAATATATCAGTTGTTATTCTCGAGTTAATGTTCCCAATATATAAACATCTATCCACAGCCATAGTGCCTCCCAATTAAAACTGCCCGGGGCTAATCCTATTTCCAATATCCAATTTCTTCTTCACGAGCTAGTATAAATCAATTAATTTCTTTGTGCCCAATTCTTGTTCTTTCAGTACAGTTCCAGGTGTTTCGTAGTATCTAATGCATGGGGGTCTAGCTACTTTACTTTCTAATTCCAGTCAGCTGGCAGTTGTTTGTGGGCTTGTGTGTCCCGTTATTTGAATGAATACGTTTCAGGACAGTAGGGTTTGTAAATGCCACCAGCTATCACATTATCAGACTGAAGATCAGTTAGTTGCAGTGTGAGGAATAATAAGTAGAAAATTCTAATGCTAATAAGAGTAAGATTTCAGGATTAGGTAAATAATAGATAATTTAGTTCATTAATTGGTAGTGAAGATTGTGAGAGAGGACCGAAGTGTAAGCAACGGAGAGAAAACAGAGATAGGAGGCGAGATAGACTGGGTTGGTGATCTGAGGAGATGGCAATAATTACGACTCACAACCCTGAAGGTATGCATCAGCTACAACTTGTCCATCTGGGAGATGAGTATGTGAATAGGTGTTCATCAAGTCTCTTCCTAAAGCTGTCCACTGAGGGGGCTGTGGTCACCCAGTTGCAGCGATTCTGAATGAGAAAAAGTTTGCACGAACCTGAGTATTAACTCTCTGATACGCAATTTTTCGAGGATTCCGCTCGAGGAGAGTTGTGGTGATGCATCGGTAAGATTCTCACGTTGGGATGGTTTGGCATGCTTAGTATATTGTATGCCATAGTCAAATCACCTCTGATTCTCCTGTTACTCAGGAGGAAATAGTCCCAAGTACTAGAGTCTATCCACGTAAGTTTCATTTCTCAACCCTATCACACATCTGGTTGCTCATCTCTGCACTCTAGCCAAGAGATTTATTTCTCTTTTAAGGAAATGCGAAGCGACGACGTTATGGAACTCAAGGTGTCCGAACAAACGTCTTAAACAGCGTTCGTCTCAGGGCAGTATCGTTTCTGGATAACATCAGATATCACGATTACAGGCGGGAGATCAGCGAGATTTCAGATCTAACCAAATAAATGGATAAATTAGCTAATTGGTTGGTAGTGAAGACTGTGCAGGAGGACCGAATTGGAAGCAAGGGAGAAGAAACAGAGATAATAAGCGAGACAGAATAAGTCACTGACCTGAAGATGATGACAACCGGCAAGTTTCGAGACGTGTCATGAACAGCTGATCCTAGAGGGAGATGATATTCCGTATGTGAATGTGTTTATAAAGTCCCTTCTTGAAGCTATTTACTAAAGGGTCTGTGGTCACCTAATCAGTTGCAACAACTATTAATGGGAAAAAGTGTTCACGAACTTAGGTGTTCTCTCACTGATACAAAGTATTTTTGAGGACTACCCCGAGGGGCGTGATGTTGGTACTTCAGCAAGATGCTCATGTTGAGATCATTCGGCATACTTAATTTGTTGTATGTTGTAGTCAGATCCCCCGGATTCTAATATGGTTCAGCGGAAACAATACTAAGTATCGGAATGTGCCTTCGTAAGTTTTATCCTCAAAACTTGTCACCCTATGTTACTCGTTTCAGCATATGGTCCGGGAGATTTAGGGAGATTGCATGACACGACACTGAGAACTTCAAAGTGTGGCCGTGAACAACTGCGAAGCGACGGCACCAAGTTGTCTTGTCTTCAAGGAAGGAGCTGTGTCAACAATGGCTGCATCCTTCATCTAGTTTGAAGTTGTATTCAGGTTCTCCGTGGTGACTAGACCGAAATGGTGCTCTGGGTACACTTTATGGAGCAGTCCTAACTGAGGAGGTAATTTCTCTGTGTCGCTTGGCGATATTTTGATTGTTAGTTTTCCTTCCGTTATCCACTGCAATTTCCTTTATTGTTTAGATTCCTTTTGAAGCCTTGTTGGATCCTTCTCACTTCTAACTGACCCACAGATCTTTGCATCGTGGAATAGAGTCGCTCAGCTAATTTTATCTAACAATTTATTAATTAGTATCTCGCCAGCTCTCATGTACTATATTTAGCTTTCTACCAAACTTTCTGTTCTCAAGGTAGTTTATAGGAGCAAAGATAGAAGTAGGTAAATCAATCTCATCTTCGAAACCTTTGCAATTTGGAGTACGTGAATAACTGAGTCTAAGCCCTTGCGTAGTCAAGGAACTTTATATTCAACCGTCAAATGCTATGAGAACATTGGATTCACATGACATACATTTGCGAAAACTTCGTTTAGGTTCACTGGCTGGCAACTCAATGCCAAATAAATTAGACTCCTCAAATTAGAATGGCAGTAAATATACTACTAACAACTCTAAAATTCTGAGTAATTAAAAACATGCATTTTTTATGTTGAAATGAACTTTATACTTTGATATTTGTTCATGGCAAAGACGAAGGATTTAAATTGGACTTTATACATAACTCTGTCAACCCGAAATTAAAAGGACAAGCTGAATGCTCTATCCTGAAATGAATATTGTTAGAGATATCCAGGAATTGATATTTCGATCGAAAAGATCCTCTACTAACTAAATTCACCCTAACACTGACGAAATTCGATACCATTATTATAGGCATGCTTACTTACTTACTTACGTCTGTTGGCCCCAATGGAACATAGGCCGCCCACCAGTTTTCTCCAACCAACTCTGTCCTGCGCTTCCCTTTCCAGTTCTGTCCAATTTTTGTTCATTCTTTTCATAACTTTCTCTATTTCTCGGCATAATGTGTTCCTTGGCCTTCCTCTTTTCCTTTTGCCTTGAGAGTTCCATGTAAGGGCTTGTCTCGTGACGCAGTTAGGTGCTTTTCGTAGAGTGTGTCCTATCCACTTCCACCGCTTCTTCCTGATTTCCTCCTCCCCTGGAATCTGGTTTGTTCTCTCCCACAGTTCGTTGTTGCTGATGGTGTCTGGCCAACGAATACGAAGTATTTTGCGTAGACAGCTGTTAATAAACACTTGTGTCTTCTGAATGATGGCTTTGGTAGTTCTCCATGTTTCCGCTCCATACAGTAGAACTGTCTTCACATTTGTATTGAAAATCCTTATTTTGGTTTTGGTTGAAAGTTGTTTGGATTGACAGATATTTTTCAACTGTAGAAATGCAGCCCTCGCTTTGCCAATCCGTGCCATCACATCTGCATCAGATCCACCTTGGTTCTCGATGATGCTGCCAAGATATTTAAAGGTGTTAACGTCCTCCAAACAATCTCCATCAAGAGTGATTTGGTTGGTGCATGTTGTGTTGCATCGGAGAATTTCGCTCTTTCCTTTATGTATGTTGAGACCTACTGCTGCAGAAGCTGCTGCCACACTGGTCGTCTTCTTTTGCATTTGTTGTTGAGTGTGCAATAGAAGAGCCAAGTCATCTGCGAAGTCCAGATCGTCCAGCTGCGTCCTAACTGTCCAGTTGATACCGTGCTTCCCTCCAGACGTCGACGTCTTCATAATCCAGTCGATCACCAGGAGGAAGATAAGGGTGAGAGTAAGCAACCTTGCCTCACACCGGTCTTCACCTCAAAGGAGTCTGTTAGATGTCCTTCGTGTACGATTTTGCAGTTGAATCCATCATAAGAATTCCGTATGATGTTAACTATTTTCTCAGGCACACCGTAGTGTCGAAGAAGCCTCCACAGTGTTTTCCTATCCACGCTATCGAATGCTTACTCGTAGTCAATGAAGTTGATGTAGAGTGGTGAGTTCCATTCGATTGATTGTTCCACAATGATCCGTAATGTAGCAATTTAGTCATTACACGATCGATCCTTACGAAATCCTGCCTGTTGATCTCGAAGTTGGGCGTCTACGAAGTCCTTCATTCTGTTTAACAATACCCTGTTGAAGACCTTGCCTGGTATTGAAAGAATAGTGATGCCTCTGTGGTTCTCACACTTGCTGAGATCGCCTTTCTTTTGTATTTTGATCAGGTATCCTTCTTTCCAATCTGATGGTACTTGTTCCTCATCCCAAATCTTCTTGAAGAGAATGTGAAATATTTTCGCAGTTGCTTCTACATCTGCTTTCATTGCCTCTGCTGGAATGTTGTCTGGTCCTGCTGATTTGCTGCTCTTGATTTGTCTGATGGCCATACTGATCTCCTCAATCGTAGGTGCGCCAATATTAATTGGGATATCCGTGGATGAAGCTTCGATGTTGGGTGTGTTCAATGGAGTTGGTCGATTTAGGAGTTCTTTAAATTGCTATACTCACCTATTTCGCTGTTCTTCACTGTTGCTGATTATTTTGCCTTCCTTGCTTTTCACTGGTCGTTCTGGTTTACGATAGTTTCCGGCCAGCTTCTTGGTTGTTTCGTACAATTATCTCAAGTTTCCGTTTCTTGCATCCTTTTCCGCCGTCATTGCTAGATCTTCCACATATTTTCGTTTGTCACCCCTGATGATCCTCTTTCACTTGTTTGTTTGCTTCTGCGTATTCAGCTTGTGCCTCTTGTTCGGCTGACATTGATTGCTGCCTTCTTGTTCCTCCTTTCTTCAATATTTGCAAGAGTACCAACAGTGATCCATTCCTTGTGACCCAGAGCTTCGTGACATGTTGAAGTGATCGCCTCTTTTATCCCTTTCCAATGGTAGTTTCTTCTCTATTGAGTAGATCGTGAAAGGCCTGGAACCTATTGTTGAAGGCCATCTTGAATTCGTTGAGTTTTACGGTATCCCGAAGAAAGGCTGTAATAAACTTGTGTGATGTTGTCTGCTCCGTTGTCCAGTGTTTCTTGAGTTTCAGATTTATTATAGACATAGGTTGAGAGAATTACTCCCTCTGGTTATGATTTGTTCTTTTCCAGGCGGCCTTAATTCTTTGTCATCTTACAAAGATATAATTATTTTGTGAGTTAAATTATTAGTCAGTGGCTAATACAGCTCATTATGTGTGGATCGCTACAATTCATTCCGATAAAATAAATCTTCTTCGTCATTACAATTGATCCGTTCTGGACAGTTCAGAAGGATCAACATCTCGTTTTATTTAGGGTGCGTATCTTGAGCGTCAAGATAATGCCAAATAAAATCGAGGGAATCCGTTCCTGTGTGACATTTTCGCATGTCAACAGTAATGCTGTTTCTAGAGTCGTTGGAAAGCAAGATCAAAAGGCTATAGACGAAGCTCACTTTCCGGACTTGCGGTTAGACAGCCATCATTGTAAGCGTGCACGAAGTCGAGACCTCTAGAAAGGTTATTTATGAATCTCCGAAAAGCTTGAGCAGCATTTCTTTAACCGAAAGGCATACGCGAAAGTTCGTAGAGCCAGAAGGGAGTGATTTTAGTCGTTTTAGGAATATATTTAGGTTATATGCTTTAAAAGAGTCGATTTTTGAAGAGATAGATATACCTTTCAATGTAGTTGTCAGTTTGTGAATGTGAGGAAACGGGTGACGAGCGGATGTGGTCGTCGTATTAACTTGTCGATAATCTTCCGCTGGACGCTAAACATTGCTGTCCATCGGATATTTGACATTCGGATAATATCTAGATGCATCATGTGTTTGGTTAGTCTGTTTCTCACAGTCTTTAAACAGGTCTGTTACGTGATTGGCTCGGTAGAGGAGACTCTGGTCGCACACGATTATGCCAAAGATGTTGAAAGTGCGTGACTACTTTAGTGGTGCCAGTGATTTTTTTCTGGTAGGTTAGGCTGTTTTTTCGATAGAACAAACCTAGAATCCAAGGTTTGTGGTGACCTCTAGCATCCAATGGGCAAATTCAGCCGGCTTGTTTCCGGCGTCATTTCGGAACTAGACCTGAACAATCTGCGCCCTTCAGGAAAGTTGGAATAAAAGGATTTGTCTTAAAGGCCTTCGTCGAAAGTCTCTCGGCTCACATGTGTAGCAAAATCTTTGTTGCCAAGCCATGTGGCAGTTCAGTGTTGTAGAAAATCTGACAAACCTTGTCGTCGAATAGGTCTTTGTGTTTGACAACCATTTTCTCAAGTTCTCTCAAGTTTCGGGAACATCACCAGTAAACATACTAGGTGTAACGTACGTGTTCAACTCGTGCGGTAGTTCCTTCTCCACAGAGAGTACTTGTTGACGTGAGTCTGTCAAGCTATGCCCATGGAAGTCAGCTTACGCATGGCGAAGTCAGGTTTCGATGATGTCAGGCCAGAATGGCGTCGATGAAAATTTCATGGGCTCATGATTCTTGATCGTCGAGCGCTTAGGTGTGTTCCCATGTAATAAGGACAGAGCATATAAAGGTATTGTCATGTTTTCTTCTTGATTACTTGGATGAATATATTGATTGAAAAGATTCATACACTAGTATTTTCGAATTCCAAAGCGTATGGTTTCCTCTTAACTTTCGGTGAATATTAACTACTGGAAGGTATAACAGCATCGTAACAGGTTGATTGTGGACATATATACTAGCCTAGCGACCAACTGCTGCCTTTTCCTTCACTCTAATGTGACCCAAAAACGTAGTTGGAGTCCTCATCAGACACACACTTTACTGAGTTATTTACCAAACTTCATACATGTTTTTCTGAAGCTTCATTTCTATTTTGATTTCTGATTATTTTTGCGAATTTAGGTTTTCTAAGGAACTACTAATGATTTTTCTTAGTGGACTAGAAAAGTAGTAAGGTAATAGGTTCCTTCACTTTGTCCGTAGTTAGTGCCATTTGAACGATTGGAGGAAACTTTCCTCTCCCTTGCTTACACTTCGTTCCTCTCTCACAATCTTCACTACCAATTAATAAACTAAATTCATCTATATATTACTCAGTTCTGAAATTTTATTCATATTAACATTAGAATTTTATCCCTATTACCCTTATTACTCTCCACATTGCAACTAACTGATCTCCGGTTTGGTAATGTGACGGCTGCTAGTATCCAGAAACCCTACTGCCCTGAAACAAACGTTCCATTCAAATTCCGAGACATACAAACTCATAACCAACTGCCAACTGACGAAAATCAGACAGTCGAGTGGCTAGACTTCCATACATTGGACATTACGGAACATCTGAAACCGTACCGAAAGAACAAGAATCGAGCGCGAAGAAATCAAATTGGCTTACACTAGCTCGTGAAAAAGATATTGGATATTGTATGATTACGTTTCCATAGCTAAATATTTTTGTGGTTTTGAATTTTCAGAGTACTTAGTTAAAAGCGGTTATTTTTTCTAGTGCAGATAACCAGCTGATTTTTGTCAATTATATTTGGATAAAGAGAAAAATTTCTCAAAGCCCCATGTCTTTATGAGATTCGCAGAACGTCATATATATATTGACATGTATCTAATCTCCCGACTTTGGTGAAACTAGAGTGGGCAACTTTAAGGGAGCTTTGGAGAAATGCAGCGAAAGCTCCGATGTCTGCTTTGGTTTGGGTTTTATTCATAGTTTTAATTTATTACGACGAAATCCCTGAAAGATGTGGGGGAAATAGGAGTTTGTAGATTACATTGGGGAAAAGTCTTAAATGTACTCACATTTTTTTATAATTTTTCAAAGGTCGGGAGATCCAACGGGGTTATATAATTAAGTTCAACCTTTCAGTCAGGTCAGCTGCTCTAAAATTTAGTTGTTAACCTGACGAAGAAGGTGATTGATATTACTACTTTCAGCCATATGCAACTTTGGTGAATCTTCTAGAACTTTCCTGAACCAGAAAATAATGGTTTCAAGTGAATGTTCGTATGTGATTAATATCTTACAGCCTGAAGGATGCATCAAAAGACATGGGCATGCCGTTAGATTTATCCTATATAAATAACAACTAAACTATTGATAAGATCTCTTACTTTGACCTAAAGATAGGACTAATGCTTCTTTAATGGTGAAGGTTAAACAGTATTAGTTTATCCTCATGGTAATCTATGAAATGTGTGTCTCCTCAAAGGAATATTCTGGATCATGTAACAAACTGAAGGCATGTGGACCGATATTCAGAGATGATATTGATAAAACAATATTACGTAAATATTCAACTGTAAGAGGAAAAATCAGTGAGTGACAAAATTAAGTTATTGTAAGAGTGTATTAATGCAAGTTCGTCTTCTCAGCGTCCCACATTTTAATACAAAAAGCAGAGTATCTTTATCTAAAGTTATCAGTCATACAGATTTAGCGTTTGCAGTAATTTACAATCTAAAGACCGTAAGTAAATGTAAGGAAATTTTTGATGAGGACTTTCAGTAATTGTAGATAATTCGTAAAAGATTTCGAGATCTAGATGAAAACTTTTTAAAAAAATCATAAGGAATTCTTGTGAGATCGAATTCGAAATATGGAACGCAATCAGTGAACTCCTATTTCGAATGTGTAAAGGGTGTAGTAAAACGGGTTTGCTGGAGAAAGTTCTTTCTAACCTCTTGTATGAAGATAGGTGTAAACGCTTCACAATACTTCTGTTATCTTGTTGTAGGTTATGTGACTCCATACTAGTTTACTATTCACTGAGTGATGACTTTCAAATGAAAACAATTTATTTAATTCTTCCATTTAGAACTGACAACATCCTCAAAAAGTTCAGATTCGAAAGTCAATTCGCTCGCTTCTGGAGTTTTGTTTGCATATCAAGTGGTGAATTACTGCAAAACGATAAAGTTGACAAAAGTTATTTGACTTTATGTCCTTATCATCGAAGACTGATGTGTATAGCTCAGTGGTTTGATCGTTTTGTGGTATTACGTTGTTTTTTAGAACGACTTCAACTAAATTGATTTTATTTCTGCCTTTTACATGAAGCAGTGTCCTATTAGATGCTATTACCATTGTTTTCAAGGTTAAGGTAAAGTTTTCTATCTATGTATTTCATAGCAAAAAAGCTCTTAGTGTTAAATTTATTCTTATTTTGATAACAGTAAATAGTCAATAGATCCAGTGGATGGATTCGAACATATAAACATTGGATATAATACTTTCACATGCTTCTAAAAATATTTCAAGATTTAAAAGATATAATAGGTAGTGTCCACTTTTGTATGCTTTTACTTTTGAAGCTGCGAAGTCCGGTGTTTGTGATGTTTATTTGAAAACAAATGAACCGGTTTCGGAGGAAAAACTCCAGGCATGGGAGTCGTTTAACAACCTGACTTTGCCCAATGATTTCAAAAACTTTTATCTAACTACGAATGGTATCGAACTTGGATGGTTCACTGCTAATAACGGTAAATTGTAGATTAACCACGAAAATATTCTAGAACAAACATCTTTATCTGGATTAATCAAGATAAACAAACTAGAAGATTTTAAATCCATAAAACTAAATTGCATAGATCCTGAGGAAGAGAGTGAACACGAAGATATTTTGGTTTTTGTGAGCAGTTTCCTAGACTCTGCATTCAAAAGATGGCCAACAGCTTACGAACTGGAAAAGTGTTTGAATGGTGCCACGGTTATTTTTGTTTTTGATGAAAATCAAGACGGTGTTTTTCTCTTAAATAACGATTTGAGTATTCACAAGATTTGTTGCACATTTCAGCAGTACATTAGGTTAGCAGTTGTGCACTTGGGGCTACAAGATTGGCAACTTTGGTACACCGATGATGCTCCAATTCTAAGTAGCCTAGTAGTTTTTCTTTTTTCTTATTCGCTTTTCAGCAACTATGTTCTTTATACACACCTGATCGTCTGTTCTTGAATGTACGTGAATCTCACGAACAGTTTTCAGCCAACTTAGAAAACAGTGTTCCTGTTTCTCTGAACTCGAAGAAACTACTTAACTTTGAGGTTTCTGGGTAAGATTACATTTGCGTAGTTTTTCCTTATTTTATTTAACTCTAAGTATCTTCATGGTATCAAACAGAAAACACTAAGCACCCAATTCAGAATTTTTTCGATTTGACATACATTTGGATAAAATCCAGTGTCTCGATGTAATCAAATACGAGTTTTCTTGATATAAGACTTGATTGGAGAGCGACATTAAAATATCTGTGATAATTCTTTGCCTGGAATCGTTCAGTTCGTATAACCTGTGGAGGAAGAAAGTTACTGTCATAAGAATCTATGCTAGAAAATTAGTGGTCATTTAGGAGGTAGGTAGTCACGGAGTTGTTGGATTTTTGATTTTGTAAATTTACTATTCTTGGTGGTAAAAGCATCTAAAGGATGTCGAAGTTGGTTGTATTTTAAGTAGTTTGCAAGCTATGATTAAATACATTTAGACTGTTTTAGATGAATGGTGAAAGATTTTTAGTGTAGCTGGTTTGGGATTGTACAGAGCCTGTTTATTCCTTGGGCTGCTTTTGTTACTGTTCTTTTGAGTCTTTTTCATAACTCACAATCTTTAGACAAGTGTGAGTTGTTTTTCAACGATCATATATCTTTAGACAAATAAGAATATCAGTGAATTTATCATAAACAAATCTTTCCCGAAAATAATTTCTTCACTGATACATATGGTCCGTACTATAGACTACCATATTTAAAAGGTAAGATTACACCGGAATTTGTACAGGCGTTTTTCAGATTAAAGTATCCCCTGTCCAGACCTAATTTTTAGATGAATACAATTTTCTTGCAATCTATAAGTTTCAGAGAGTTCTTCAGTCATTTTATAATAGTTTGGTTTACAAATTCAGTTAATGATACTATTTTATCGTAAATATAGTAGCATTGTATAGGTTTAGAGCTGGTTGTTGTGGCTGAACATCCATGTTGAAGAGTTTTAAAATATAAAAATTCTGATTTCTATGGTTTTCGTTACATTCATAGATAGACTGTTTAGCGCTTTATAAACTAAAATTTACGTTTGTGCTTATACAAATTCCTAATACTTGCAAATCAGATATAGCTCATTGTATAAAGTAGTCACTATTCTAAGAAATAGGTTTTGTGTCACCGCTAATGAAAACTGACGTTACGCTGTTAAAACTCTGTCTTAACAACTTTGGTTCGGGCAACCGAGTAGTATCATCAGTCGTCGCACCAACTATGTGGCTGAAAGCTGAGGACTTAAGCATGAAGCTGATCGATAATTTGCAACACATTTTTTTACACACACTTTAGCAAATCTACTCGGGTTGTCAGTTACGTGTAAATTTATTTGTTTGAACATTTATTTTTCGATGTTTATGGATTAATGGTACACTACAACTTTATTTGCCCTTGTTATATCTATATTGTTTATCAATGTACTATTATCATGCGTATTTATTTATTTTCAAACGTATATAGTCATCCTGTGGAGTAAAGTCAAAAATTAGGGGTTTCAATAGGATGAGAATTAATGAACGCTATTTTATAAATCAAGGATTTTTAAAGCAAATACTTCCCTTAGTGGGTTTTAAAAGGGGTTGTGAAAAGCTAGAGTATTTGTCTAGTCTGTTTGTTGTGGGCTTTATTGGCTTTATGTCGTGATATTTTGCTTTTGTTCTCTAATTTATCAAACATTATACTGAAATTGTCAACATAAAATCTTTTTTGTTTGCTCACAAACCACTTTTGATCTCACCTTGGTAGCACGCATCGTTCTAATTCTTTCGGCAAAACTAACAATCAATCAGAGATGTTGAACAAGCAAGGAAGGTATGTTTGCATTTTATCTCTTGATTTATGTGCTAAATCTCTTGCCTAAAATTAGCTGAAATGATTCTTGATTTTACAGTACTAGAGAGCCAAGTTAACTTTCGATCATTTATGAACCTAATTTTGAATAAAAAGGAAAACTGAAGCCTGTATATTTTCTTGGAGGTGTAGATGTTTATAATCTGCATATTATGGCTTTTAAAATTTAAAAATTTATGATGAGAAACAGAATAACTATTCCTGTGCATTAGCTAGGTTTCTTGATAGAAAGAATTTTTAATTTTAGTTATGATGATTTATGTAATAACATATTAAGAGTTTGGAGAAGGAAATAGGAAGACGAAGTTTTTGTCAGAATCAGTACATTCCAAACAATCTGATCACAGTTATATAAATATAAAGAGTCAGGTAGGCAAATCAAAAGGTAAGAAGAAACAAAGATATTAAAGAGAGTAGTGTAAGTCATACCACATCGAGCGGTAAATCAGGGTGTTCGTCTGGTCGAGGTTCTAATAAATCTTAGCATATATCCCCTAAACGCTACTAGGATAATTTAATGTCCACCTTGTGACCAGTCTTGACCAAGCGTTTTGCAGTGAGTGAGCAACTGTCAACAGGAATGCTAAATGTGTCAGGGCTTCTAATTCTTTTACCTCATAAGAAATGGCTTATTTGGTTAGTTATGCGGTTGTTTCTTCATGTAAACTGTCTAACTAATGATCTTGCCCTTATCCTATCGATTGAAATCTGAACAAATCAAAATGATATTTTTGATTTTTTCGTGGTTAGTGATAAAATAATCCTTTTGTTATTATCCAGTAATAATAAAATGAAAAATATGTCGATCTTCTTCAGGGAAAGTAACTCAGTTTGCATAGGGAGCTATTTCACTCAGTACGATATTCTAACTTGAACAGGTATACTTTCATGTTGTGTTTTATGTTGTTTATAACTGATCAACCGTATAGTTGAATAGTATAATTTATTTCAGATGATATCCAGCGTCAGAATTATATTGGCATTCATTCAGTACATGGATTATAGTAGCATCAATCCAGTTAATTAGTGGTGTTATTCTAAGTTATTTCAGTTAATTTTAATTCGTGCTTATTACCATGTAGACTTTTATAGCGTTTATACATACTATTCAATAGGCAGAAGCACTTTCTTCACATATGCTAAATGATTTTTTTTAGAAATCATTTTATTTGTTCAATTAAAAATATTTTAGTTTCTCTGATTCATGGAATTCAAAAGTCAACGATAATGTAAATACCGGTAGAAGATTGAAAAAATGAATATTGACAATTGACATGTTTCTTGTAAAAATGTTGGATAGTGTTTCTCTTTCTTTATGCATCCTAACAATTCTTAATAATTATTAAATGTTCTTTTATGTATCCGTAACTTTGAATAATATAAAACCATTATTATAAATTATATTTCTAAATACTTATTTAAATAAATGTGTACTTGTTTTGTCTTATGGTAACTTATTTTATGAATAAATGTAACTATATTTCAGTAAGTACGACTTCTAGTTAAAGAAGAATTTAGCGTCTGCTGCTGTAAAACCCAAGGTTAGAAGCTGTAGCAGTCAGTATGACAAAAATGTGTATTGGATTTCAATGAACACCCAGTTAATCAGTCCTAAATACGCTAAGAACTCGTACACTCGGTTTAAATGTTAAAGACTGACTTAAGCTATCCATTGAAACTAAAGAAGTTGACGGTTATTTCGTCCTAGTGTGTATGTGGGTCATCGGTAATATGCATCCATGAACTATGCAGGGATCTAAAGCAAACTCCTCAGGTTTCACCGCTAACACTTTTACTTCACATTTTAGAGTGAACACCTAATCATGACTCACAATTCCTACATCATTCAATCAGGATCTTTTGACATCGTCATACCTGTTTCACTCTCAAGATAATTGAATTCTATCACCACTAGACCACCGTTTGGTTTATAAGTTTCATCAAGTTAATGAGCTGACAGAGAGACGTGAAATTTGTGGGCGAACATTGCTGTGGAGTTTTATCCCAGAAAAAAATAAATGTATAGTGCTACTTGTTTTTCAATAGGAGATTAAATAAAGTCTATTCATGATTCACACTGTGTTTAAAATGAATAACCTTTACAAATGCCAATCATAGCAGCTCAACATTTTTCGATGAATGAAGTTTATCGAAACGGCATGATTTAATAGAGCAGTGCAGTTATAATCCATTTAGTAACTGACCTTTTCAACTAATCTAATTGAACATAATCATATTTCCGATGAGTAAACAAAATAAATAAATTTTTATGAAAAAGACTACAAATTGCTTTAATCTGAAAGGATTTTATTTTTGATTACATTACTTAGGAAAAGGGTTACTGCTTCATGTGCTTAATAATTCCCAATTTCTTTTGATTATTTGTCACTTGTTTTATCCATTCAAGTGTAAAAATAACAATTATAGGTTAGGGTCAAATATTTAATTGCCTAGAGGATTATAACTGAAAGATCGAAGAATGCTCCAGATAGCCTCATACAGCATAAGAAAATATTCACTTATGAAATTTCAATATAAATTAGTTCATCGATAAAACAGAATTTTCACACAAAAACAAAAGAATTCCATTGTACAGTTGTCAGTTAACTCTACGTACCAAATCATGTTGTACTATTGGTTTAATGTATCAGAGCAGTATATTCACAGAAAGTCACTATAGCACATGGCACCAGGTGTACTTGTTCAAAATATTTATCACTGATGTTAACGTTCTAGCTGGCGTGTAAAAAAAGGTAGGAAATCAAGCGTGACGAGGCATAGAGTTTATCAAACTATATGGGGATTGAGGTATGCACTTACACTTTGGTAAGCCTTTGAAAATAAAAATTTTTTCACGGTATCAAGTAGCGGCTAAATAAATATATGTTGAATTTAAGAAAATATTTAATTTCATGTCACTGTTGTTATATTGTTGTTCATGTCGTAATGTGCTTTATTAAATGAACGCACTTTACGATCTTGATGCTCAATTTTAAATCAGTCAGTCTGTTTGGAATTGGGATCCTTAAATGAATCTGCTTTTTGATCTATTTAAAAATTGTTTACTGGATGTACCTAAATCCTAGTGTTAATTGTTGTGCTAAAGTTCACACTCAGTGATCACTTTTTTTCCTTATCAGATCTTTGTTTGCCCTTCTGAGTTTCGCCAGTTATAGCGTAGTCAAACGCCTTTGTGATGGTTGAGAATACTATGGAGAAGAACATTTTCCTCAGAATTGCAGGAGCTCAACGTTTGAGAAAGTGTACTATAGAGATTAGTGTTCACATTATAACTTGGTAAACAGAACTCATTCAACATTAAAAACCTAAACAACATAACAATGGTTACTGTAAAGTGGTCACATAATAAATGAAATAGAGCAGTGGTAATATACGTGAATGGGACTCTGATTAACAGTCTTTGATCTTAAGCATCACTGTTTCTCCAGATTAAAGATAAGACTTTGTATAATCTACTCAACTAGTAAAACATAAAGTTCATGGTTTCCTGTATATTGTACTGAATTACTAACATGAAAGTAAATTAGAAGATCAATTATTTTCAACCTGAATTCTGTTTAATAAAGTTTAATACTGATTTTCTGGTTCTGAAAATAACTGATTTATGGATAATTGAGTCTTCATTTGTTAGTCTCTCTAGTCACTAAGTACCCAGGTGCTTTATCCAATAATGTTCAGTAAAAAACATTTTCAGTCAGTTATAGCTAAGGAAAATTATTTTCCTTAGTGTTCACTAATTTATAAGTATACACTTGTGTTTCAGTTACTTGTACTAACTGATAACAGGTTACGGAAGTCCACCTAACTTTTTAAATATGCATTGATAGAAAATGATAAGTCTGCTATGCTAACGCTTGATAATGACTTTCTAACTGCTTCGAATATTTTCAGAATCTTCCTACATTTTCTCCTGAATTGCAGAGAACATAAAAACTACTTCAAGAAATGTTTATATGCAGAAAATAAGAGTAGTTACAAGTCTAGGAATAACATTGGTAATTCGGAAGTTTCTGGAGGCATGCTAAATTGGGCAACAACATATGGAAATGTCTAATCAGTGTGGTGTGTAATCTGTCATTACTCTAGAAACTTCTGAAAAGCTATAAATGATTTGTGAATGAACAAAATCTGGCTTGAAATGACTTTGTTGAGGAACTAAAAGCAATGTTCACTAGGAAACACTATATAATTAAGTAGTTTTTAACTCAATAATGCTTTTAACATGCTGATCATAACGAAACATCATGTGAGCTGTAACTTCAGGAAAAACAAACAAACTTTTTGCACATCTATTTATTCATAAAACAATACTGATAATCACTTAGTTGAATAAGAAAGTCGTACGAGTTCTCAATAGATGAAGAGAATATAATTAAAATTGTCAATTGTTTCTTATTTAAATTTAAGTAAATTGACAACCCTTTTATCTAATATTTGACTGTTTGCATCATTCGACAGATAATCAATGTTTTAATAGAACTAGTCTGTCTTATTCAGAATGATTTATTGTTTATATATATATATATATATATATATATATATATATATATATATATATATATATATATATATATATATATATATATATATATATATATATATATATATATATATATATGTATATATATATATATATTTCCAAGTTCGTTTAACGTTGTAAAATGGTAATAATACCATACTGAAAGTGGTTAAAACGAATCAAGTTGATTTGATAAGCGTAGATGCATCCACAAGTAAGGTATGTTGAAATGTACACTGTTTTTAGATTTCTAGTATTGATAGACAGTTCGTATACAGTTATATGTTAACTAAATCTTATCCACGTATCTGTATACATCTATCATTTTTTACTTTTGTACATTCAAACGAATCTGTAAAAGAAATTTATCTTTACTTATATATAAAAGGTTAACCGATACTATTAATCTTTAAAATAAATATTCTGAAATATTTTATTATCATGAAAATGTAACAAGAGAAATTAACCAGGAAGAATACAACATTAGCCATACGGATAATTTTAAAAAGAAAATTAAATCAAATTTATATATATATTTCATTTAAAAAACAAAGATATTTAATTATCAATATTTATCAATACAATGAATTCGATTCAAGTGTTTGATTTTCCATTTCCTTGTAAATAATCACAGTTAGTCAAAATGCATTTTTAATAAAATGATGCCTTTATTTTAGATTGTTTTATCTTGTAAAAAAAATGTCACTTTCAAAATGTTTTCTTTTCGTATTATACCAACATTATGTTTCATGAGATATTGTTATTTAGTGAATAAAACGAGAAATTTTCTCGTTTACATATTAATTCGGTTGTTTATAATTCTTAACACAGAATAAGATTAATAAATTATAGATATATAAATTTTAGAAAAAAAAATTTATAAAGTAAAATTATAAACAACGCCGATCAAATTTAAAAACTGTTACAATCATAGTAAATTTTCTGAAATTTTACAGACTTTCTTTTAATTCATAAATAATAAAATAATGAATGGGAAGAATGAGAAAATGTCCATTCGATTATATGCAATTTTGTCATAATAGTACACTGTGTCAAGCAAATGCTTTTTTCATTGATTTGAAGGGTTTAATTGATCGATACCAAACTGCTGGGAAATATATGTGTTAAAAATTTGTTGATCGATGCACTGAAATAATCAAGGTAATTATAATATGATTCAATAGAAATCATCATTCAGTAATGAAGGTAAGTGAGAAGTAGGGACAGATACAGAATTCTGCAGTAAAATGAAAAAAAAACAACATCATCCATGTATTTACAGCCGTAGGTTCAATGATAATCATCTCGATTACATCATAATTCACAATACAATCAGCGTACTCAATTCCTTGATCCAAATGGTAAATAATAAATGAACATGATATTGATTTTTGGAAAATGAAACATTTTTCAGTCACACTGAAGAGTTTGAGAGTTGTTTAGTAAAGAACAAATGCTGACTTACGTCGCTTAACTGTGCATGCTAAAATTGAATGAAAGAATATGAAATATTTTTTTTATCAGATACATGAAACTTACTGGAATGTTTTCATTCAATGAGTTAGATGTTAAAATTTAACAGAAAAAAACATCTAGATTTTTTATCTTTGAATATCGGATTATATTTCCTATCATCTTTTATTGTACTTTATAGTAGAACTTGCGCCATTAGTTTTTAAGCTAACTTTTACTCTGAAGTTTTTATGGATCGTATTTCTGTGTTATCTAAATTATACTACTTATTATTGGTAGGTAGGGTGGTTTCGTTTCAACTGAATATTATGACAAATTAAAATACCAACCTGGTCATCAAGACCTACGAGACAACAAGAAGAGAATAAAGATGGAAGTCTTTCCAATAAGTTTGATTTTGCCCTTCTTCGGAAGAACATATATATATATATATATATATATATATATATATATATATATGTTTGATGTCAATATTCAGAATGAGCGAAAATAAAAAAAGTAGATTAAGTTATCGGAGTTTGTTCAGGTTATTTGTCTGTACATGAATATACACATTTGACTGATTTTAAGTTCTCAATGTCTTACGCATAAGAGGTCGACCTAAAGTGACAAGATATTCTCTAAATTCAAATTATATAATGATTATTTAAATAGAAATTAAAATTTTCTCATACTGCACTACTCGAAAATCAAACAACATAACCGATTATAAACTGCATAATGCAGTTACTTAGTATCAGTCAAAATGACATTGTATGTTAGAGAGCTTTGAAAAGCTAGAGAAATCAATTGTTTTTTGGTTTTAAGAAAAAAATTTGAATTTATTTACTGAAAACTAATTAGGATTGAAGTAGATTTATTAAATATCGAAGAAAAAACGAAATTATCTAATTAATCAGACTAATTAAATTGGAAGGATAAAACTAAATTAACTCACTTCTTTTTTTTCGGAGGTAATTTTAAGTAATAATAGAGGATTATTCGAAATGGCATTATCCATTTCTATAAGTGTGGATAATTGAACAAGCCTGTAAAAGAAATGTGTGATTATATAGTCATATACTATACTATAATCAATTGTATTTAGATGACGAAAGAGACTCATTGGATTATTAAAAAAGAATGAAGACGATTCAGTGAAGGGAAAAAATTTCTTTTTTGACGATTTGATTTACCCGATCGGTATAATCCCTTCTATTCTTTTATAACTTATCTCAGTTTTTGTTTGGTTGTTTTGTGTGTGCTTTTATTTAAATTATTGTTTTTAATTCTTTCCAACTATTTTTACAACTATTAACAATATCTACAACCCCGCAATGCAATTACCAGTGCTCACTGGTGACTAGCTCCGCGGGGAATCTTCTCCGTGTTCTAGTGGGAAGTCGTAACTAGTGAAGTTCGACCCTGTTCGGGTGTAGACAGTAACTGCCGAAGATAGTTTGTGAGCCTGCGCAAGACCGTGGACTGATAGAAGTTAAACATCAACACCGTTAGATGCCGGCTCAGTGGTCCAGAGGTTAGGCATTCTCACTCAAGACCGAAAGTCCTGGGTTCAAATCCTTCGAGCTGCAGGAGTCATGGATGCACACTGCTGATGAATCCCATTCCAGGACGAAACGGCCATCGATTGCTTTCAGGTTTCTAATGGTGGTCTAACATTGATCGTATCATGATTTCAATGTGTAATTTAACAATCTTCATAACCCTGAACTATAATTATTATTAGGCCATTATTACAATTTCGTTTAATCCATTCTATGTAGATATCCAGTGGACAATTATCTTCAACTTAGTACCTTTCACTAACCGATTATTGTGTAGCTTCCTTTAAGTACCTGATTTTTATAAACAATTCATGACGCGATACGACTTCACATTGGTTTTCTGTCACACCACTCTTTTTTAAGGTACACTGCTGCAAAAAAATTGTATATATATATATATATATATATATATATATATATATATCTTTTCTATGATTTCATTTACTTAGGCTGTAAAATGGTGCTAAAAGTTAGTTTTATTTATATTAGTCCGTAGTAAAATAGAATGGTATGGAATATAGTTCAGTGATAGATATCTAAATTTTAATTGTTTTTCAGAATTAGAATGTAGATTTTATTAAAAGTTAATGTCAGTCGAAGAATCTTTGAAGAATGAAGATTATTTATTCAGTTCAATTTTCAACACTGTGCAACAAAAGAACGTACCTTTGAGAATGATATATATAATTCTTTTAACTGAAAGTCGACACCATCTTACAACATTTAAATTAGTTATTAACTAGTGATTAGCAAATCTGAGTTTGTTTGATTAGTAATAAAATGCATGATTAACTGGTAAGATAAAATGCAAATGATTAGGTGCTTAACTTATTAGTTTAGCGCATCTGATGACGCAAGAAAAGCTTGGACATGAAAATATGATCGTTTTATTTGTAATCGGTAAAAAATTTAAATTAGAATCTCTAGTTTAAATAACCTATTTGAAATAATATGAACTATGAGTGTTAGCTAACATTTAACGTCTCACAACACTATTGTCAAACTTCATCAAATATGGATATCATCGATAAACTTGACTGTTTGGTCACATTTGGTTCTGTCGGTATTGCAGCTGTTGTTCGATATCTAGAAGGATGCTAGTTTGCTAAGATTGATGAAAAGGCTCATACAGAGTGAAGGGCAAACACAATTTTACATGTAATTTCGAGATTTACTCCATTACATTTCAAACTTTGATTCGTCTGACTGCATAAATAACTCTGTTTATTTGATGTTTATCCATTTTGGTGCTGTTTTTTTGGATAAATAGTTTGGTCTCTGTCTGAATTCGTTTTGGTGTGAACTATTTGCGTCGTGGTTACAAGTATTATAGTATCAACTTCTACTACTAGTTTTTGTCCACATTAACAGCTTCAAGTGCAAACTTGACAACTACTGATATCACAAAAATATGTGACAGTCTCCTAGAGTTGAATTTCAAAAATTAAAATGTTTTTATCCAAATAAAATGACTGTTCACAGTATACGGTTGTCTTTAGGTAGACAATTTCCATGTTCTGATTTTTGCCAAATTTTATCTAGTTATTTAAATAATCTTTGGTGTAGAGCAGTTTCTTAGAAACGTAGCTACATAAATTCGACAACCAGAGATTTAAATGTCACAGTTAATATCAATTTATAATTCACTTGGTGAAACGTTTATCCACTTACTGTATTTTTTTTTAAAGAGATTCTTGCAATAAAATGCAATGAATGAACAGAATTTACTAGAGGAGACAATCACATAATGTATCTTTGTTACTTCGTTTCGGTTAGTTCTTCTGTACATGATACTTAAACTATCGTGAAATCAAACAAATATCTAGATAAATATCATCACTTTAACTAAATCCTGAAGTATTTCGCTTTGATTGAATTCGATTTATTTTTATTTCGATTAACTTTAGATTAGATAAACGGGAGAAGAAAAGACGAATTAATCTACTTATTTAATTAATTAGATTTATGGGTCAGAGTTAATGAAGTAGAAATTAGACTACAAGTTGATTGCTTGATTGTTTTCAAAGTATTTAAGTATAATAATAATAATAATATTAACAATAATAGATTTCGCCTATAAATAAAAAAATTATCTACTGAATCTAATGTATTTAAGTCAAATTTATTCTATTAGCTTAAATAAGAATTCAATTTTCAATCTTCTTGATGTTAAATTGTAAACGAACTTCAAATAAATAAATAAACTAATAAACAATAATTTCTGTACAAAAATGAATTAGTCATATCAATTAAATTGTTTTCTTAAATATTCACAAAATCAACTGTTTTGTGTTTGTTTCTTTTTTAGTTTATAAAATATGATTCTCATTTTAAGAAATCTATTTCGCCTCATTGACAGGAACTAAATTAGTCATGAAATTGCTTAGTTTACCATTTTAAAATTGTGTATTATATGCTTGAATTAGTGACATCTTAAGAAGTGATAATTTTATTTTAAGAATTTATCATTCTTGTTTTTAAATTTCTTTAAAATTCTAAACCTCTGATTTATTTTTGATTGGCAGTGATTTCGTTTAGCCAAAAATTTTCAATGTTTAGTTATATTACCAAGAAGTTGTTTATTGATTTTCACAGGTACACAACAACAATTACAAAGTCTTACATCATAATCCACTTTTGGAATCAATGTAACTGGTGAAGTTTGAATATGATTAGCAAACATTGTTGTTTGACTAAGATTTGTTCCGTTCGGTGCACCTGTAATAATATAATGTGCTTGACCATTTGTGACAAGATTCTCAGACATGGCAGGTGGACGACAGCTTATCCCTGTAATTGATGATTGTTGAGCTGATGGAACTGTCAGCGGACCCAATATTTGTAGTTGTGCTTGATTATGATGACCATAATTTGAGTAAGAATGAAGAAGATGATTAGTAAGAGGACGAGAATGTTGACTAATTTCAAATTGATCGTTTTCTGGGCTTATAATATCTGTTTGTAAAGATTGAGTGGTGGAATTGACCAAAGGACTATGATTGGTGGTTTCGCCATTTTGTAAAAGTGAATTGATTGTCATAGAATTCAATAAAAGCTGTAATTTATTAGAACGGTTAGTATTAAGTAATTCTGTTACTTCTTCTTTACTTTGTGCCCCTGGCCGATTGAAACTACTGTTAATATTGCTACAGTTGTTATTATTAGTATTATGCGTATCCAAATGATTATTCTTACAGTTATCATGATCAGTTGTATTCGTAATGATTGGCACATGTGGACTAGAAGTGACATATGTATTTGACTGAATAGGTTGTAATGAATGAGTTAATAGAGATAATAAATTCTGTGATGAATTGAGCAAATCATAACTGGCAGTTTGTGAATCTTGATTTCTTATTTGATTAGGATTGATTGTAGATGGTAGTAGCCCAGTATGTGGATTAAAGGTAACATCGGTTGATGGACTGTAGAACATTGGATTTCCTTAAGGTAAAGACAAAGAAAAATTTCTGTGGCTTAACTTATAAAGCAGGGTAGAGTAGCTGTTGTTGATGATAGAAATGAATGCTTTATAAATGGAATCCTCTCATAAAATACAAATCAATAACTTTTATGAAATCCTGATTAGAACTATCAGAATGTTTGTCTTCAAGTTAAAATGTTTTAGAGTTGAAATAACAATAAATTTTGTGACTTCATTTGAAAAAAATAATTTATTCACGCTACTTGAATTTGGTCAACATTACGTAAATGGATTATAAGATTATGGCATATTTTAAGGTATTACGTCAGTAATTTCAATTTCTTATCCATAGTATGAATTTTTTCATACTTAGAAAAAAATTGATTTTTGAATGTCAATAAATGAAATCTTAATTCTTAGAAGCTACATTTGGCAGTAATGCATTGTAAAACTTGCTTTCTGGCTTGTACACAATGCTTCAGTAATCTAACGAGATCTGTTTTTCAGTGTAACTCTACATGACGTAACTTTACTGTGAAACTAATTTTCACTTTCTGCAAAAGATATCTTAGCACATAGTTTATTCAAAGCAAAAATGAAAACAGATAACAGATTTTTTATCATTTTGGTATTTTAGTGCCAGTGTTTTGTGAACGCACAGTAACAAAGTGAAATTATTGTGGTTATCGAGTAGTGACTTTATAAAACTTATAAGTTATTTGTCATATTAAGAATATCAATTGCAGTCCAGTAATTTAACTCAGTTAGTTTTTTTCTCTTGGTTTATTTAATAATGTATATTTTACAGTAGATATATTCAACCTATAACACCTAACAGTTGGACAGTAATTTATGTATATCATAAATCATAAAATAATACACATGACAATGATCATCCTTTTTTGTTGCTTTATTTGTGTTCTCTTATCAATTACAAACTTTTAGCCGAAATAGAATTGTAAATTTCGTTAAAAAAATCAATTTCCCTCTTCCTGAATTATTGAATATCATATACAGTTGAAGAAGAAATTGAATTATTAAAACAAAAAGTGTTCACTGATAATAAAGATTCGACAGTCGAAATGTTAGTCACTGATTTTATAAACTAAAAACTTTAGATTTTTGTAGTTTTTTGATAAAGTCTACAATATCAGAGAATACTTAATAATTTCATCAGAACTCAGTTTGTCGATAGAATGGTGGTAATAATGAAGTTTAACTATTCTTTCCTAACCATTATGGTTTATAACAGCTGATGTAACCAGAATCTCATTTTGTCTCAATCTAGATTTTTTGTAACTTCCCAATTTCTGTAGTGAAAAATCTGGACTAATCGTTTATCCTCAGTTCAAGGCAGACAGTCAAAGTTTTCATTTTAAATTTGTTGGTTTAAGTCTGTTTATAGCGTGGATAATGTTCACTGTTCTTTCATTTTATTAAATATTGATTTCAGTCAGTCAGTAAATCAGTTACTTGACTGATGTGAATACTTCAATAAATAAATCAAAACAGTGGGAATTTAATTACCAATCACAAATCACAATTTTTTTTTTACAAACAATTGTCAATCTTTTCCCGTGAAAACACAGAACTTAGATAAACCTATGCGTTGGTGAAGTGGAAACATCTCCAGAAATATAAAAAATGAACCAAAAAACTATTATTATTATTTATATTATTACTATTTTGTAGATTGTTTTGAATTTTACACATTTTAAATTAGGCCAATATTTTTTTCTTTAATTTTAAACAAAACAACTATATCAGCAAAACATAAAGAGAGAGAGAGAGAGAAGAAAAAATATATGCTAATTAGGCGATTTTCTCCTATCAGTGTTTGTTTATTATACACACTTAGCAGAAATAAATACTCATAAACAAGGAAACACACTGAGAAATACACAATTTCTCATGCATAATTTGCAGATGGTTCTGTGTATAAGTCAATGCATTGATGTTAGGTAGATCTACATATATATATATTTCATGATTCAAATTACAATTGATTGTGAGTGAAATATCAGTTCCCTTCTTCTCTGCATATTATATGCATAAACAGAAACATCATTTTCCAATGCATGCACACACACACACTTTCATGTTCAAATGTACATTTGTGTTGTATGATCATTTATTTATTTGTTTGTCTGTTGGTTTCTATTCTCTCTTCCTTGATTGAGAACAACAAGCAACAACAACCAAAACAACAACAACACAGTTATCGATTAAAATTGGTAAATTAAAATTTAGATTTTTGAATAATGAACAAAAAAAAAGAGGACACACAATTCTATGTCATTTTTCGGGTTAACAAGATTTCGCTTACTCCTCATTTATTTATTTATTTGGTTCAATGTGTTACAGGACTGCACCGTCATTAAATAGAGTTTTTCTGCATTAAATCATTGCAATTATTTAATTATCATCGGAGTATTATTGATTTTATGTTTGAAATGATTAATGCATGCATAACTCAATATTCCAATGGTAAATGAGAAAATAAACAAACAAACAAACAGACGAACAAATAAACAAATTATTGTCAGTTTTAAAATTGAAAATTGTCATTAAATTATGAACAACTAGTTAGAATAAAACTGAGATATTTTATGTTATGTTGATAGATAAAGTAATGAGTTAATAAGGATGCTTCTCGACAGAATAGACTGACAATTTTGTGGTGCATAATATATATATATATATATATATATTTATATATATATAGAATAGAATAGAACAGTAAATAATTCCGTTTCATAGTGGTGTAATCTATCTTTCAATATGTGGGTGGTTTTTCTATGACATAAACTATATTGGAACAATCGATCTAGTACAACCATCGGTTAACATGTGTTTGTATTTCTATCTTGAAAGGTTTGTATGAAAGAAATGTGATTGTTTTTTTCTTATAAAAAAAAGAGACAGTGTCATTTTCGATGTATTGATAGAGAAAGTTTTTAACATTTCAATAAAAAATAGTTTCAAGTGATAAGAAAACTGACTGTTATTTGTAGAGGTTTTGTGGCAGTAACATAATATATATATATATATATATATATATATATATATATATGTTAATGAATAGTTAGTTTCGTGTATTCTTCATTTGATGAAAAAAAGTTCATCTTTTAAATATCTAAAAGATATTTGTCAATATACAGCTAGTTATCAAAAATCAGTAGATCATCATGGTTTAAGATTAAAATTTACTTTGATTCTTAGTAGACAGAATTATAAGAAAGATTTACGTCTTGGTGGTCTAGTCACTGTTATATTTTTAAAAGTTTTCCATAAACTTTTCTTACTTACCAACTGAATATACTAAGTGAATATTTCTTTGCAATCTAGTGTTTTTATCAAAGAAAAGATTCAATCTAAACAAAATGGATCGTATAGAGTACTATGGCTAAAATAAACTACTTAGAAAGTGGTATTTGGTAAAATCTGAATGCCATTTTGTAGGAATAGAAAATTCATGGAGGTGTTCATTTTTTTTCTTCGAAATAAATAACAAAGGTAGTTTAGTGACTTTTAACCTTTTTATTGAATAATTTTTGTTTAGTTTTTCAGTCCATAAAAAAAGAAAAACGTTAGTTACAAATGATGTTTTGTTGTCAATTTTTAGGTAGTTTTATTTATTTGACAAATTATAATTAACTGTGTAACGATGAAACTGGTTTTAAAAATTTTCAACTTAAAACTCTGTGACAGTTGTCGGTTAAAATGTTAAAAATGACAAGGTTCCACATGTGATTCGATTGTATTAATAATAATTTGAATTTATCTATTTTGCTTTATACAGGGGTATGTGCAGTTGTTGTTCTATAACGTCAGTTAACTATTCCTTTTGAATTAGTGAATGTTTAAGCTGTCAAGAAAACGTTTATTAATTAAACAGTTTCTTAATTTTATCATGATAAACAATTCTTACTTCATGTTTTACTATTGTAGGCAGTCATCTTGAAGCTCTGTACTGAGAATACTTTTGTTGGTTAGTGGTTGTCCTCGGGGGAATGGATACTTTCTTTGAGATTTGAAATAGCTTTACCTAGTGAAAAATCCAAAGGTGTGACAGCTAACGAGCAAACAGTGTACTTGATGTCCAGTCTTTGAAACTGTTGATCGAACTACAGATTAATGTACAGAATTCAGCTAGCACTGGGGATTGCACAAGGATTGCAATGTTTACTACCTACAGCCATCATATTTCATTTCTGAAAAGTGAATCTTACGATTTGTAGTTTTTGATTGAGTAAAAACTTTCAGAGTAAAAACTGTTGATAGGAAAGTGACATAGATCAACTTTAAGATATCAGTGTTCATACTGAGTTGTAGTTGTCAAGGTACAGCTATACAACCGGTACAATACTGTGTTTGCTGGAGTCATCACATTTCACACCACAGCTAAACAAAATAAAACTAATGAAACCGGCATCCGCTAAACATATGTCGAAAAATTCCAAATGGTTGAATATATTTAATAGATGAAAAACATTCTGATCAGAAGTGTTAACAATTATTTACTTTGAAAAACTGTTACTAATTCTGATCCAAGTTGTCTAAACTCCCTAATTTCAAATTAGAACAACCTTCTAAGTCTAAAACCTTAGAAAGTGTTTGACTGCGATAGTTGATGACGTGGGTTTAAATCCAGTCAAAAAAATATCAGATCACTCCAAAAGATAAACATTTCTATCTGACATGCGCTTAATAATAGGAAAGTGTTTTTGTTACAGCTCACTTGCTAAAGCTAAGAAAACAATGTTTCCTAGATTTTAAGTTTTAAAGAAATGCTTTATTTATTATTTAAACTGATTTATTAGCAACTACCATCAACCGTAGAACCAGTGTAAACCAGAGAGTATGACTAACTCTACTACTATGGGATTTGAAATGACAATAGCGTGTATGTGCTATTTTGGTATGGCGACGTGAACTAATGTACGTTTTACGGTGAAGGTTACTGACTGAGAGGGTAATGAATAGTATTCTCATATTACTTGGAGCTCTACACAAGTGT